TCACTCTGAGGCCAGCGAAATAATCTCTCCATTAAAGAAGGGGTGTTTTATTACTAGTGATGCATTAAAAAAGCCTGGCTATTTAACAACTACTATCATGTTACCATTTTGAACAATGAGTTTCAGGATTAACACTGAAAGTGCAAAATATGCATGGTGTGCTGTGAAGCGTCATAAGTCCTATTGATCTACTGTAACTGTGTAAGTCCTTTCGATACATGTAATTGTAAATTTGTATCCTTACAGGGCTTGAAATAACGTTCCCAAAGTTCCCTATCATGGTGATCGGCAGTCATGCCTTTCCCTGCTTTTTTCAGCTTGGAAACCGAAACCCTGCTTATCCGCCGATCATATAAGCAGTTTCTTGCCGATCATTGATCGGTGATCGTTTTTATTTCAAGCTTTGTCTTTACAATTTTGAATTGAAGCTGATTTCAAATGACTAAATCTATGTAATAATTATCCCATGCAACTGTTAGGAAGGGCAAAATTTCTAATGGAGGACGAAAATCCTAAAGGAAAGGTGAAGTTTCTAAAGGGGTCCAATTTCCTAAAGTGGGGGAGAATTTCCTAGTAATTTTGCCACCTTAGAGGGCGATTTTCCTAGGAATTTCGCCCCCCTTGGAGGCGAAATTGTGGGGAGGGGGCGAAATTCCTCGGACACCAGCAATCATCTCCAATTTGGAAATCGGAAAGCAATACTCGCTCCAAAAACGTATTTGGCCGTATGCTCTAAAGTTCGTTGCACAATTTGTCATGAGTCTTTTCAAAACGACTACGTCGGGAAACATACAAAATCTAAGCACAAAGCAACCTCGTTCCCAGGATCTTTCTATGGGAAAGACCCTGGCTGCGGCTGGTCAAAAATTTAGCGCCCGAGGGGTTGTGGGGAAAGTATCAAATTACATCAACATGCTTCGAGATATTATGAGATAAATGTTTGCGAATTGTTAAGTTCAAAATACTTGCCAATTTTTGTTTATTTTTTTGCTTTGAATTTACAAGAACATTCTTACATTTTTGCGAACAGTCAAGTCAAGAAACCAAGCAAATCGTTTGTACTCGCAGTTCTCTCTCGTGTTATTATTCAATGCTCTCTTCACACTCGCGAGCGCGGTTTCATAACAAGCGTTTTATTGTCATGTTTTTAAAATACGCCATTAGATTTGTCCTTTAATTTCTTGTAAATGTTGATATGCTTTGCACCGATTTACTTGTTACTACGGATCTTGTGTATAAAATTTTTAAAAGAAACAGTATTGCCTTGCTTGTCTAGGACTAGTGATACATGTAGCATATTTACACTCACGTACAAGCAATCCTGGATATGATAGAGACGATATACAAGCTGTCCATTAAAAAATAACAGTATTATACTCCACAAAGCAGAAATTTAAATCTCACTTGTATTATTAAGAAGAAATATAAAGCAAAAAATTAAAGTTTGTGTCAAAACGAAAGCTATTTATAAAATTGATAAATGTGGTAAACACTACTATTAAAACAGTGCTCATTGAAAGAGATATATTATATTGACCTATATATATTGACGTTTGACTTATCTTTGGTGTATGATTTTAATACCGTAGATTTTCAACAGACATGCATTGAAATTTCAACACCTTTCAAAGTTTCCATTTTTATTTTTTTACAAAGTGACAAACACGCTCCTTTTCCACCCTATCCATAGTATAATTTTAATTTACCTCCCAGAATCTGGGAGGCACGTGACCAGCCGCAGCCAGGGTCTTTCCTTCGCCTTGCGTCGTTCTAAGAACTCCCACAAAGTCTACGACCGCACCTTCTAATTCTAATTTTGAACAGCCAATCCGGTTCCTGGTAACAATTACAATTAAAGGTCAATTGGCTGTTTAAATTAGAATTGTAAACATCCAAAAATATGTAGGTGTGGTCGTAGACGTTTGTAGGAGTGGCGCCGGACGATACAAACTTTTGATGCATTTCCACAGTACGGTGAGTTCCGTAATATATTGAATCGTGCATTTTATAAATAATGCATCAGCCATCATGCTGGCTCAATTGTATATTTTAAGTATATAAAATATTTAACAATTATACCATGAGCTCGAGTCGTATATGAGCTGATAGCCGACGAGGTGCGTAGCACCGAGTCGGCTATCAGCCATATATGACGAGAGCGAATGGTATAATTGTTTTATAATATAGTCTAATAGCCATTAACTGAAGCAGTAAGTAATTATCCTTTGTTACAATGTCTTGACAATTACTGTTCGGCAAAAAACCGCTTGGCCTTAACATTTGAAATACTTTTGCTTTACAACTCGAAGACTGTGAAAGACTGAAATGGTTTTAGAACCGGTATATCTCACAGAAAAGCTCACATATATTATACAGATATTTTTGGTGGTATATAGTAAGTGCTTGTTGACTGCAAATTCATTTGTCTTTCGTTGAAACTTTTCTGAACAATTTATATTCTCAATGAACATGTTTTTTCGCTGTTGTTTTGGTATTAATTCTTTAAAAAACTTGTACTTAAACTAATTTCTATGTAATAAATGTATTTTGCTAACCTGTCAAATTTTTTGGAGAGTTTTTCCTTGTACTATTATCTTTCTCAAAGATGCTTCGCAAAACTCATGTAGTTTTTGGACCGCCATCTTGTTTTTCGCTACTCAGTACTCGCCGTATATGAGCTTATATACGGCGAGTAATTCAACCAATCAGATTGCAGAAGAGCTCATATACGGTGGATAACTATATTATAAGTTAGTATATATTGCATGCTTAACCATGAAAAATTTTCATAGCCCCCTCGTCGGGGAACATAGCCCCTCCGTCCGGAAATTTCTGGCGCCACAGTGGTATGATCAAAACAAAATACCATATATTTCAGACTGGATCAGCATGTGTTAAGGATGATATCGCTGATTGGTTATTCTCCTAATCAACATCTGCGAGGTAAGTTTGGTCTTATCATATTTGTTATTACGCTATTGACACTGCCAAGATTTGCGACACATTTATAATTATAGTTGCATGAAGTGTAAAATATCGAGAATGACAGGAGCGTTGTATCCGTTGATTGATTTATAGTCTAGCTGGATTGCATTAATTATTACTCGCTTAGAACTCCGTCCGCCAACTCTCCAGCACACAATATTCATGCATTTTTATAGATAATATTTAGAAGATATTCTAGTCGTGCATTCATTTTATCTCGCCGTGACAAATCATATGTAACTAAATTTGTCTGACAGGGACAGTGCCATCTGTGCAATTTTGAATATCGAAATGGTAGCGACGCTGTTTAATACAACGTAGCTGTATGCTCACACTTCTGAGCAGTACCACGGAGTAGAGACATACAGAGCCGTAACTGACCGTCGTAAACACTGCGGAAAATTACGTCAAAATGATCAATTGCGCATGCTTGGCAAGTTTAAAGTTAGTCGTCATCAGGTCGTCATCCAATCAGATGCATGCATCTAGTAACTTGCAGAGCATGTGCACAAAAATTGGGTACACTAGTTACAACTCTGTATGTCTCTCCTCTGTGGCAGTACTGTAGGTATCTCAAATCTAACAGTTCTTTCTTCTTACGCTAACTTGCGTGATCTTTGTTTTACACGCAATTCATAACTGTCAAAATCTAAACAACTTTTCTTAAATATGAAATATAACACTATTTTACACTGCTCTCCCTTCTAAAAAAAAGGACACGTCCTCGTGTCTGAATTAAAATTCAAATAACCCAATGTTATTAATTATTCGCATAGGGTTTAGACGATTAAAGTTCACCACTCTTCTTTTTCGACCACCGACCAACTGAACACGATAAAGGAATCAGATAACCGTTTCACGACTCGATAAGGTCCAGACCATGCGTGGAATAGTTTCTTTGACTTCCTTTTCCTTGTGCAAGGCGTATACAGCCAAACCCGATCTTCCTTTTCAAGGTTTTCCCGAAGTGCGCACTTTGTAATACTCCCGTTGTCTCTTCTGTACCACTTTCATCCGCTCTCGAACACCCTTATATGCCTTTTCTAAGTTATTTCGAACAGCTTCCACATACACATTCACCGATTTCCTACTCTCCGTTCCTCCAAACATTATGTCCAACGGAAGTCGCGCCTCTCTTCCAAACGTCATGAAATATGGGGTTTGCCGCGTTCATTCCTGAACACTTGAACGATACGCCAACATGACCAGTTGTAAACACTCATCCCAGTTCTTTTGATTTCCATTCACATACTTCGATAACATTGCCTCCAGGGTTCGGTTAATTAAAACGTTCAACCAGACCATCGGATTGAGGGTGGTAGGGTGATGTTCTCGTTTTATGGATTTGTAACAACTCGCAAATTTCTTGAATCAACTTAGACTCGAAATTGCGTCTCTGATCTGTATGAAGTTGTTCTGGTACGTCAAACATACTCATTCACAACACCTGTGTAACTGTTGCGGCTTCTTGATTTGGTAAGGGAAAAGCTTCTGTGCGAATAAAATGGTCACAAACTACAAGGATGTACTTGTTATCGCGTTCTGTTTTCGGAAATGGGCCCACAATGTCCATTGCAACTCGTTCGCCTGGGTATCCTACTTTACTTGTGACTAACGGTGCTCGTGGTTACTGCTTGGGATTGTTTCTTTTACAGCATTGTTCACAAATCTTGCACCAGGTTTCAACGTCTTGCCGCAGTCCACTCCAATAGAGTCTTTGTTTGACTCTTTCCACCGTCTTTGTTACCCCAAGATGCCCGCAAGTTGGATTGTTGTGCGATAGATATAAAACAACCGGTACTAGGGATTCGGGAACAACAAGCTGCAATCTTGTAGAGGTACCATCGTCTGTCTCCCATGCAGCGACGATACAAAATTCCGTTCTCTGCTGTGAATCTTTGCCAGTTATATCATAAGACCTGATTAGCTCGACTACTTCCTTGGATATCAGCCGAAACTAATCGTTCTCCTGCTCTTATAGTCTCAATCAGAAGAACTAACACTTGATCATTCTGTTAGGCTTGTCTTATTTGGTCTTCTGACATTCTGGGAATCCAGCTGGAACCTTCCTCAATATTCTCTTTACTCACTGCCATGACACATTTTCCGTTATCTACGTTAGCATTCACTGTCATCTCCTCAACCACGTGTTTGGTATTATCAGGACTTCCCTCGGCACTCGGTCTCCTTGGTAAATCTGCATTGGCACGACTCTTTCCAGGACGATGCTCAACCACGAAATCAAACTCAGACAGAAATTCAAGCCATCGAGCGATTTGACCGACCGGTTCTTTGAAGCTTCTCGGTTGAGAGGCGTTGTGATCCGTTCTAACTGTAAACTTAACATGTCTTCCAAACAGATAATGTCCATAGTGCTTAACCGATTCGATAATGGCCAACAATTCTTTCCGTGTAGTGGAAAAACTACGTTCTGGTTTCGACAGTGTCCCACTGTTATATCCAATAACTCATTCGTATTCCTCGTGTACCTGATACGACACTCCACCGATACCTACGCTCGCATCAGTGTCAAGTATGAATTTCTTTCTGAAACGTGGATAAGCTAGAATAGGAGGTCTGGTCAGACAATGTTTCAACTCTATGAAAGCTTCTTCGCACAACTTACTCCCAGGGGTGGATCCAGGGGGTATCGAGTCAGATTTTTCCGATTATTGATATCAAGATACGGTCAGATTTTTCCGATTATTGATAGTAAAATAGTTTGGTGGAAAAATTCACCATTATTATATGCCATTATTAAAATACACGCAATTCATTTCTAGTTTATGAAAATTTAAGTTTACTAAGATGAACGAGGGAAAATACTTTCGTAAAAAGTTTAAAATTTACAGCTCTAAATCTAAAATTAGACTCCTTTTTAAAGCATTTAATTATTTTTGACGAAGATGAGCCGAGAGCTTTCCGAAGGCGTAATCCGAGGACTTTACTTGGATCGGAAAAACGTTTTTAAATGCGTCTGCGGTGTTCTGAAACGGTCCATGGTTCAAATATTACTAAAAATAGTAACTTAATGAGGTATTTGGATACCTTGAGGGTAACCAGCCAATCACAGGACGTGTATCTATGACGTCGGATGCTCTCTGATACTGTGGCTGTATTTAGATTGCGCACGAAAAGAAAAATAATCGTGAACCGCTCGGAAACTTCGTCTCATATTGCTAACAGCCGCATTACGTTAACAACTGAGTGAGCGATGGCCTTACAAGTAACATTCAAAAGACGTGCTTGAAAGAGCATTATATAAATAGTGTTTTGGATGTTGATTCGAACAAGACGATTACGAAAAGGATATGTCCGATGGTGCCGAAGTTATATTCGGCGAAGCAATTTTCCTTTTCGCAAACGGTTGTTATACCATCTGGAACTGGCGTTACCATTCCGAGTCTTAGGGCCTGTTTACATGGAGGTAGGGTGACCCTATCAGGAGGGTTACCCTAGCAAGCGGGTCAGAAATAGCGAGTGTTTACATGAGGTAGGGTAACCCTACTGCTAGGGCTATGTTGCCCGATAAGGTAACCCTACCTATGCCTGGTCGCTAAGCCGTCTGTATTAGAAAAATGGCGCCGCAACGCAACGTTTTAGCGGCAAGTTGTGTAATAGTATTTATTGGGCCTTAGCTCGCTGCATTTCAATGTTGTGGTCTGTTATTTTGGTCTATTACTCGCATTGCGTAATATATTCCTTGATATAGTCCAACACAACAGAAACTACATCAATTGCAGCGCCAGCGTTCTCGTCCAAAGGCAAAGCTTCGTTCTACACCTCTGCTTCCTTATTTGTAAATTGCTTATCCTTTTTATTTTCTGGTGTCGTTTAAAATACTCGCCAGGCTGATATGTTCATATGTATAATCTAGCGACGCCATCCTTGTTTGTCCACCAGTCACAGTAGGACGTATAAAACATGACTCGCTTGCTAGGGTAACCCTACCTGACGCATTTACATGGCTTATGTAAACAAAAAGATAGCCCTGCTGCTATAGGGTCACCCTATCTGTTTGATAGGGTAACCCTACCCCTAGGGTAACCCTAGCGCGCATGTAAACGCTTCCTATAAAACATATTGAAGTAGGGTAACCCGCTTGCTAGGCCGTAACCCTTCTGCTAGGGTCACCCTACCTCCATGTAAACAGGCCCTTATAGAATTCTGGGTAAGCAGAGCAATCCCATGCTATCCCGCGCATGTCACATTTATTGTTCACATGCAGTGGTTTTTAGCGGGAAAATATTTCTATAAAACTAATAAAAGACTGTCAACGATGGCAAATTCTTTAGAAAAACAATCAGTGAGGAAACCAACATGATTGAATACTTCAAAAACTCATTAATAATTCATGAGGAAAACACAAAGAGAAATCATAAGCGTGGCGTGTCTTTATATGTGATAAAACACGCTTCAAATTTCAACTTGTATTTTCTCAGCTAATACAAAGTTATTTTGGAAAATTATTTCGCCAATGCCGTGATCTAACTGAGACGTTTTTGAAGCTGTTTAATAAACTCGTAGTTCATGTTTTATCACATATAAAACACTCCGCTACGCGTCGTGTTTTATATGTGATAAAACACTCCTACTCGTTTACTAAACAGTACTTAATTGTTATCAACAAGTTGCGGTGAGTTGATTCAAATAAATATACGAGTATTCATTTATATGACCTTGTGAACTTCGGAACTTCCCGTCCTACATTAAAAATGCAATAAGCCAATACAGGCCTTCGATTTAAAAATATAACTATATGCGGTATATCAAGTAACTATCCGCATACAAATAAACATCTCCATGTATCGAACTTCGCGCTTGGTGTCAACAGATCGAATTACTACAAGACGTGATATATTCTAAGCATGTTTTAACATGCTGTTTTAAAATTGGTTGGAACTCTGGAACTTGCTTGTTATATTACACAGGCCGAGTAAAAACTATACCGAAAATTACTCGATATTTTTACTCCTACTACGATTAATTGGGGAGTTATATTTGTAAAACAACCCCTGGAGTAAAAAATATAGAGTAAAATTTACTCCGTTATTTTTACTCCTGTGCTAGAGTTATTAGGGAGCTTTAGCAGCGAGTACGAGTACGAGATTCGTCGAGCGAAAGGCATGCTGTATGCTTACGCCATCCCGTACTGACGCGAAAAAGTCGTAGCCGTCGCCCATCTGAGTACGAAATTGTGGAGAAACCTCGTAGTCCTCACATTGACTTTTCAAGAAATAATTTGTAGCGTTTATATTGCGTTTATCCGGTGCAAATAATATATTATACTAGTATAATATTTAACAATTATTGAATGAGGTTGAGCACGATATGAAGAATTATCAAGCCCAAAGTTTGCTGTTATCAACCAAAGCCGAAGGCTGAGGTTGATAACGGCAAGCTGAGGGATTGATAGTTCTTCATATTGGGCGAAAACCGAATTCAATAATTGTTTTATTATTTATTTAAAAAATTCAAAACAAACGGAAGCCATTTGTATTTTATTTGTATTAAGAAAAAAACAATTCCTTAGTTCTTCGGCAGCCGTCGTCGTCGTCATATCAATGGCGTCAGCGAGTCAATATGATTCTCGTCGTCATAGTAATATATGGCGCAAACGCGTCCAAATTTTTTTCATATTGACTCTTTGACGTCATTTTGCTAATATGAATGTGAAAAATCCATATTTGGTTAGCCAATGAGTTGATATGACAATTTCACAGTTGGCTGTTAGCCAATCAGAAACCAGGAATTTTTTAAATAAATAATAATATATATTATATATAATATATATAATTTGAGGGTTTCATTACGCGTCATGGCGAGCGGTCAGGAATTTTCTGACTCCACTAATGTTAGTGTTATTCAGTTTTATAAAGATCTATTGCCTCAAGATAGAATGGCATTATGTAATTTACGCTACGAAGGTGAGCGTTTAAAACAGTGGTCGAGTGATCTTGAAGCATTAAAATTATTCTTTAAAGAAAAGTGAGGCCCAAAGAGAAAACTACGAGAAAAACTGTATTTAAACACACATAAATAATACGATATTTTTAAGCGTGAAAATATCATAAAGCGCCTAGGAAATATGTTTGACCAATCAGAGAACTTGTTCCTTTTTGATTTACTAGCTAGTTTTATATACGTACATTTCTGCACTTTGATATGCTTTTAAAGAGATATTGACGGCATTTTAACTGAACATTGTTATTTGAAATGTGTCACTATTTACATATGTGTCACTATTTTCATATGAATTTCAGTATATGAATTGTCATTTGTTTATAATAATAATTTGTTTGTATAGGCCTAATAGCAAAGTTTCGAGTGCAATTTGGATATAAGACATTAACATGCACGAGTGAGTTTTTCAAAGACCTTGAGATATTTGAAAAACTCAAAAGTGCATGTTTATCCAAATTTCACGAAAAACCATGCTATTACTTATTAATAATTTACATAAAAATGTTCGAGACAATTGTAGTTTTAACTTACGCGTTTATAGCGAACATTCCACCGGCAAACTTTTCTTGGCTTTGTTATATCACATTATACAACGCTAACAGCTTGAAAATTCCACTCAACTATGTAATTTTTGTTAGTCTTGTTTAATTAAGGTAAATGATTTCCATTTAAAAATAATGATAAAAGTCATATTTTCCACGCGAAGGCAACTTTTACTTTACTGTAGCGCGGCGCCATGTTTGTTTTGTTTTGAAGCAATCTGTGAAAATTGCTTTAAAGTGCATATGACATGAAATTTTTTATCCTCTTAAATGAAAGTACTCTTTAAGTTGTAGTGTAATTATTTTTAGTTTCTTGTTTTTTATGGTTTGTTCCCAAGATATTTCATTTTGTTTGATATGTAAATGAGTGTACATATGTCCGCTAATTTATGACGTCATGTTGGTGGCAAGCTCAACTTACACTGGTTTTAAATGTATTAACTCTAAAAACTGTTGATATCAGTTTACGTTTTTCTCCAGTGTTTCATCACATTTACCAGTGAGCGAAGTTTGAAATTATCATCTTGGATAATGGTAGTGATATTCAACCCTTTTGAAGAGCTTGCAACCAACATGACATCACAAATTAGCAGACATATTCACATCATTTACATATCAAACCAATTGAAATATCTCGGGAACAAACTATAAAAACAACAAACTGAAAAATAAGTTACACTACAACTTTCATTTAAGAAAATAAAAAGTACTTTCATTTAAGAAAATAAAAAGTTTTATGTCATATGTACTTTAAACTGATTGGTTGATTTAATCATCACAATGTTTTTCCACCAATCAGGTCAGTTTGTTACAGATTTTTGCACTGTGATTACTGATTACAGAAAATTGCACTGTGATTACAAAACATTGCACTGTGATTACAGAAAATTGCACTGTGATTACAGAAAATTGCACTGCTGTATGG